GACCCCAAGGTTGAGGGGCTTTCACACAGCCCCTAGAGCCTGGCACTTTGAACTTGGACTTAAAGCCTCCAAATTGTAAGAATAAACTCCTGTTTGTTAAGACTATCCCATTTGTGGTATATTCTTATCAGAGCGGCACCAGGTAACCAGAACTGTATGTCTTGGTGATTTTCTTTTGGAGTCTATCCTGTTTGGGGATCATTGGACTTCCTGAATGGATATATTCTCATCTTTCATCATACCAGGGAAGTTCTTTTCCATCAAATCTTGGACAATTTTCTCAGTGGTTTTCTTTTTCTCTTCTTGTTCTGGAATTCTAATTAGATGTAGGTTATTCCTTTTGATGGCATCCCACATGAACTTTAGGCTTTCTTCATTTTGTTTTGATCTTTTTTCTAATTGATCCCTTTCCAAAGAACTATTGAGGTATTTGTCTTCAATCTCACTAATTCTGTCTTCCATTGATTTGCTTCTACTCCTTTGCCCTTTCAATGTGTTATCTATTTTTGAAAATTTAGTATTAATCTTCTGGATTTCTATCTGTAGATTTTGTATCATTTCTATTTTTAAAAAATTTATTTTGTCATTTTCTTCTTAAATTGTTCTAGGATTTTGTCTGTGTTTTCCTTAATTTTGTCAGTATTTTCCTTGATCTGTCTCTCAATCCTTTGAAGATACCTAAGTAGAATTCTTTTGAATTCCTTATCAGGGAGTTCTAATGCTGCTTCTTCCTCTGGGTCTGTATCCTGGTCCCTTGTTTCTACCACTTTATCTTGCTTTTCTGTGTAGACTGTGATGGTCTGTTGTCTCTGAGATATTGTGATGTTGTTTTATTTAGATCTCTGTTAACTGCTTGTGAAGAGCAGTTAAGGGTGAGTCAGTCTCTTCTTGGTGGTCATTTATCCTTGCCCAGTTGGTGGAGAAGGAAGTGGTGGCTCTCACTCAGTAAGTGTAGCTGCAGGAGGTACACATGTGGTTGCATTGTATGGGCACCATTGCTGTCTCCCACTCAATTCTACAAAAACAACAATAGAAGAACATCAAGACAGTGAAAGCTAGCAGACAAAAAAGACACTGCACAAACCCACAGGAACAATCACCAAAAAAAGGAAAAGAAAACAAACAAACCCCGCAATATCTGGGGAGGGGGCAATAAGAGAAAAGAGATAGAGTAGGAGAATAATGAAGAAAAAAATGGGAAAAATGCAAAAAGAAAAATAAGGAATGGGGTTAACCATGAGAAAGAAAAAAAAAAATGGGAAACCAGGAACAGGTGAGGGAAAAAGCTGAAAACTAGAACCTAGGAAGGGAAGAATGAAGAAGAAGAATAAAAAGGATAAATAATAATAATAATTTGAAAACAGACAAATACAAACTAACTAAAAAAAGGCAGGGGGGAATCTGGGCAGGGCGTGGCTGGCACCCATGCTCTGTTGAAACACACAGACTGGATGGAATTCCTGCTGGCCCAGAAGGTGGGTGCAAGAGAGATGGCCACACCTCTGTTCCCCAAGAGGGTTTGGGGTATAAGAGTAAAGGGGGAATATCACACCTTTCCAGTTGTTCGTGTCGGAAGTATCCTTGCAGTTGCTGGCAAGTGGAGTCTATTCTTACCAAAAACAAAAACCAAACTCACTGCCCTCGAGTC